GCATGTTCTGTTAATTGTTTTGCGGCAAAGAGTAGCTCGGTGTAGGACGGTAAAAAGACAGCTTTCGACAGGGAAAAAGGTGCGGGGAAAGAAAAATAAAAAATTGTACATATTTTGCAACCTGGGCCACTCGCCCCCAGTTTGCCTTGTCCACGCGTGCTGGTGCTGAGGCTCTCGCCAGCTCGAGACCGACTCAGACCCCCACTGCCCTGTCCTCTCTGTCGATGGCATCGGCGCATTCGACTTTGTAAGCCGCCAGTCCATGCTGACAGAGCTCCGAAACACACCTGGCGCCGCCGCTATGCTCCCCTCCGTCCGTCTGTTCTATGGACGTCCGTCCTCCTTCGTCTGGTCTGACGATGACGCCGCCACCCACCTCGTGTCACAAGCCGAAAGCGGCGAGCAGGGCGACCCACTGATGCCCGCCCTCTTCGCTCTTGGCCTCGCGCCCGCGCTCCGCTCCTTCCAAGCCGAGCTCCTCCCCGGCGAGCGCGGGCGAGCTTTTTTAGACGACATTTAGGTCACCACCCTCCCTGCCCGCACAGCATGTGTGTTGTCCCTCCTGGAGCACCATCTGTTCACGTCGTTGCACATCCGGCTCCATGCCGGTAAAACCCGTGTGTGGAATTCCGGTGGCGCTCCCCCGCCCAATCTCGGGCCGCAGCGGCTTCAGGCTGGACGCGTCGCTGGTGGGGCATGTTGTCTGTCAGCACTGCCTTGGAACAGCAATGGCCCCAATCAGCGCATGCTACCAGCATTGCAGGTCCACCGCTCGACCGCATTATCGACGTCGCGAAGGCCGATGGGCCGAACCGCCTGCCGCTGCGACCCCGATTGTAGCAGTAGATGTTCCGTAGGACCCACAGACCTGACACGAAGTGGGCAGGTGCAGCTCATGCGCCGCTGGACCGCACTCGCAGCGCTCGCGGCCCTACGCGCACACGCGCAGAGCCTGCTGGAGCTGCCGATTCGGGCCTGCGACGCAAGCGACGGTGCAGAGCTGCCGCTGGGAGAGCTCCTGGCGGAGCCGCCGTAAGTGCCCCGTAGCTGGCAGATAGCTCCGCCGACGTGCAGCCGGACCAGTCGGAAAAAGGCGCGAGCAACCAAAAAAAAAATCCAGCGTTTGCATGGGGAATGGTTGACTGGTGCTTGTGGAATCGCATCGATCCAGCGTGCCAAAGGGGATTCCGCACCACGTACGTGTGTCTCGAATGAGTCCTTGTGGAATTGAGCGTCTACATGCGGAATGGCTGGTTTTGATCTGCTGTGCTGCCACTTGTGTGTCGAGTTGGCGCTGGCGAATTCCAACGTGTACGGGCGTGCACTTGGGGATGTTGTGACGAACAGGCGCCCTGACCCGACTTGACCCCACTGCCCGAACCTCCTGAAAACCGTAGGCTTGAAGGCTTGAAGCTGCAGATGCTATTGACGCTTGGGGCAGTCCCGACCAAGTTCCTGTTATAGCTCGGCCAGACAGTATGGACGCAACAATAGCGGAAATACAATCGGGGACGCAAGCCAGGAACGCCAGCAAAGCTGAAACAGTATAAAAAGGTTCGCCGAGTCCTGAAAATGATGAACAATGCATGTGGAAACTAAGCTAGAGCATTTGCGGGACGATTTCCCGATGGCGGACGGCATTGAGCTTTAGATCGGTTGAAAATGGCCGGATGTAAAGGCAGGTGCGTGTGAGAAAAAACGAAGGCCACATGTGTTGAGCAAGTCTTGGTAAATGCATTTGGGCTTGGTCGGTGGTCGGGAGGGGCAAGGGGGCACGAGCCAAGCTGAATGTTGGGGCATTGGAAACCATTTTCGGGTGCAGGGACGGCATTGAGCACGGGAGTAGGTGAAGGTTTAGCGGCCCTGAAAACTGCATTTGGTCTCGGCCGCGGAGCTCAATTTCAATTCGGAGATTGGGGCCACGGGCATCAGCAAGGCTGAAGCAGCTTTGAGTGAGTTGGAGTGTGTTTTCCAAGCTTTGAAACATGCAGATTGGAACCTAAAACATTTTCGGCCATTGAGCTCCAGATCACATTGCATTTTAGCATTCTCGGTGTGATTTTCGGGTGCAGGGACGGTACTGAGCTCCGGATTTGAAACCCCGCCAAGTGCGTTTCGCAGGCCTTGGAAAAATGCATTTGGGCTTGGTCGGTGGCTTCGAGAGCTCAACCATAGAGTCGGGAGGGGCCAGGACCACCGGCAAGGCTGAAACAGCATGAAATGCGCTAATTTTCCTTCCAAGTCCCAGCATGCATTTTTCAAGGGGAAAACGCGATTTTTTTTTCCACACACCTTTTTGC